CAGAAAGGGGATTCTCCAACGGCATTCTGACGCCTCCCAGTGGACAAGGGACGTCAGCACACCCGGAAACTCCACCCTTGGGCGCATATGGATGACGTCATCGGAAGTCTCTCTCATACGAGCTCCCTGAAGGTCTTTTGAGTTCAGTCAGCACAGGGCCAGAGAGGGACAGCATAGCATAGTTTAGGAGCTCTCTTTTGTTTGAATGTTCTGTATCTGATTGTCAAGATAAATTAAATACAGATGTTAAACTTGGAGAATCTTTGTCTGATTTCTGTACCAAATTTTGAACACGTCAGTCAAATTATTTTTTACCCACAAATGGTGACCCCGAGACGTGATTTGATACAGAAAGAAGACAGAGATGAGCTCAGCTATAGAGACTGGATTTGTGGGTTTGGAAAATCTCTCTGCTCTTCAAAAAATGTCGCTTCTAAAGAGGTAAGCGGATCATAGTTTTGAAAATCTGCACATTGTTTTAAATAGAAGAGAGAGAGATTTTGGCTCGACAGATTGCAGCGTGGACAAGACCGCCGTGATGGGCGTTCTATCGGACGCGATAGAACAATAGTCAGGTTTAGACGTTTTTAGCCTTGGGGGAAGAATTGGTCCCTCCTTAAATAAAACAGAACATAGATGAGAGGTCCACAGAGTTTAGAAGTGCAAAAGAGGCACACCTTCGTGCAGAGAGGCACAAGTGTATTAGTGAAAAAATAGGAATAGAATTAGAGAAATAGGGACAGCTTTAGGGTCAGAACAGGATAATAAAACCTTCTATATCCCCCGGGGGGCGGGAAAAAGGGTACATTTAAGCAGGAAAAAAGCCAAGTATTTAAAATGTGGATTCTGATAATAATGATCTGATTAATGAGGGAAAAAGAGCCACTTGGCTGTAGTATACGAGTTTCATGTGGAGAAATGACCAGAATGATCAGTTATGGAAGTTTTTCTCTTATTCTGATGTAATGTTTCAATAGTTACAGAGGTATTTAAAAAAAAAAAAGATCCGGCTGTACCTAGTGATGCATTAGTCATGTAAGCAAATTGTAATGTTTTCCATTACTGACGTATTTAAGGATAAAATGTAAAGTGTCGTTTGACGTGAGAAAAACTTTTACCACTGATTAAGACCATGTCACGATAAAAACGAGGAAAATGTAGCTAACAGGAGGAAGTATTTCAGACTCCATGTTTTCCTTTGTTCGGGAGGCCCCTCCCCTCCCTCTTTCTCTCTCTCTCTCTTTCTGTCTTTCTCTCTCTCTCTCGTGAAGAAAGAACTATTACCAAATATATTTTTTGTAGAAAATTACAGTTATACACACGATAATGTTACTGACATGGAGTTACTAGGATCACAGAACTTTGAGTTAGATTATAAAGAGGCATTATTTTATTTTTATCTCCGAGGCGTCTGGACAAGTTATTAAACATTTTTTCCCTACATTTTGGTGATATAAAACTTAGAATGATCTTAGAGAGCATTATACTTTTGGAAAAATAGGGCTTAGGATAGCAGTTGAATGCAGAATTCGGTTTTCAGAATCTAATGTTTAAAATGTTAATATTAATTATTTCATAGGTTTATTTGGATTTGTAATTAATCATTGGTTTTGTATGGTAATTAACACACTTGTTTGTGTTTCTTGTTTGTCTGTTTTTTCTGAGAAAACTTCTGTCTGTTTCATTTGGCCAAAATCGTCTCTGCCACAAACCACAATCGAGCGCCATCAGCACGGACCATCAGCGTCTCCCCCAGACCCACAGGGGGCAGCAAAGACAGCAGCATCGGCTGCAGCAGCTAACAGGAACTCTCGAAGAAGACCTCTCCGGCCTCCATTTCATGGAGAAGAACCAGACTTTTGCACAAACCGAGTGGAGTTATGTGCACGGAGAGGAACGTTGTGTAAACCAAGCGAAGGACGACACATTGGTGTGCGTCAAAAAAGTGATTGAAAGAAGAAGAAGAAAGAAAGTGATTGAAAGAAGAAGAAGAAAGAAAGTGATTGAAAGAAGAAGAAGAAAGAAAGTGATTGTTTAAAGAAGAAGAAAAAAGGCATTGAGGCAAAGACATTGGACACTTTGAGACAGAGACATTAATGGACATTTGAGGAGGACGGGGCTGGGCAAATGAAACAGACAGAAGGTATTGTATACAGACAGGCAACAAACGCACAGAGACATATGGGACATTTAAGTTATATTTACACATTTAGGTCATTCGTTCATAACACTACATTTAGCTGCATGAAAGATTGCAAGACAATCGTCAAAATTAATTAGACTTTTACTTTAGCATGAGACACAAGGAGATTAGAACAGCAGTATATTTAAGGTAGAGGAGCTCTATTATTGAAACTATTATTGTTATTTAAAGTTATAGACGCGGAGAAGTTTAGAATTATTGATTTTGACTGCATGATCTTGGTAATACGGATATTGAAGGCAATTTTTCAACCTCTGAACCGTGGCTCGTTTCTCATTTAAGAACAATCACATGCACAGTTGAAACTGGTGCTAGAAAGAGAACTGCAGCTTTTAATGGACGTTGCATTTAATACAAATGTGGGATGTTCAGACAATAAAAAAAAGGGGGTCTGAAAAATAATATAGAGTATTTCTAAATCTTGGCTAAAGGTGATATTAGACCATTTTTGATGGCACACTAACGCACCACGGTCCATTGGTTGAAAACACGGATGTAGGGACATTTTATGAAATCTTTTATGACATGTTTCTCTTCCAAATAGCTAAATTAGAAACAATTAGGACAATTATGTCTTTAATATAACTGTTGGCAGTTTATCTGAGACATGATTGGTGCAAGTACAACAACACACATAGAACAATGGTCTTTTCTCCACATGAACGTGAAACAAAGGTGAAGTATTAAAGTTTGAGACTAATTTACATTTTTAATGAATCCGACCTGGCTTTACTGGGAAAAAAAAAAGGGAAAAACATTTATTGCACGTGCACGAGTCTTAAAGTAACAAGAGCTCATTAAAAATATAGGGGACACAGTCTGTGAGAAGCCCGAGCAAAGACCACGTGGTTTAAACACTAGTTTGAAATGGATCCTTGTAGGAAAAAATCTCTTAAAGCTTTGCATGTTCTGCAGGCTCTGAAAGTTGCAACAATAGAAATAACTCAAGAGACAATTGTAATTGGACATGGAAAAATATAACAAAGTTAAAATTACAGGCCTCCTGTGTTGTCTATATGTTTGTGTGTGTTATATGTTTGTGAGTGTGTTGTGAAATGAGGAGTGAACGAGGAGTGCTGAACGGAGAATGGAATAACAAATGTTTTCTGTAATGTTTTAATGTGATCATTGAATAATTATTTTTTGTCAACAGCATACGGTGTAAGTACTAGAGATTCAAAGATAACAAGCTTTATTGAACAGGTGTAAAAGTGAGAGTACTCTGGGATGAGTACTCTGAGAAAGTACTCTGAGAAAGTACTCTGAGATGAAATATCTTGCTGAAGGTACTGGGAGTCCCTCCCTCTGCTGTTTGTCCGGACAGTGATTCGGTCCAACCGCAGTGAGCGGTCATTGGGCGGAGGACAACTTTGGTTTGTAACTCACATTTAGGGGAGTATAAAATTAGAAACATACATTTTGTTAAGTCTGTATTTGGCTACAGCCTCTGCCCTGATGTCACACACCGTCTGTCAATGCAGTTATGTTTTGCCCAATTGGAAAAAGATTGACAGGCTGCACCATGCCAGGGAAGTGGGCATTTTTTGTGTTCTAATGTTTCTTTTTCAGATGAGAGATAAACTACCCCTGCTTCAGGGATGACAGTAGTATGGATCATGAGGAAATGAGCCTCTACGTTGGCACCAAAGCCCACAATACGACTGGAGGACGATCCGGGAGGAACAACTGGAGAATAGTGATGGGAAAACCGGTTCTTTCCTCTGATTCGATTCTTTAACTCTCGAACAGTAAATTGAACGAGTCCCGAACGAATCATTTCGTTCATTTGTACAGCAGATGGCGCTGTAGTGGCCCACAATGCAGGACTCATGCCGACGACGTGTTTTCTCCAACTATAAATACTGAAGACAAGATGGTTTGCTTACGGTGACAAAGTATAACACACAAAATGCCATAAGCTATTCAAGCCATTTGAAAACCCAGGAAAGCTAACACACACCACAATAATGTAACTTGTGTCCTGTATCCTCTCTGTTATCATTGTTTAACAGCACGGCAGTCTGGGTAACTGTCACGTGACAGTGAAAACAGACCAATCAGAGAGAAGCAATGTTGCTGGCGCACAGTGTCAGCCTGAGCCAGAGCTGTGAACCGATGAACGATGAACGAGAAAGACCCGGTCAGCCCGCGAGTCATGTGACAAAGGAACCAGTTGGACGAACGAGAACGAAGTACTGAGCTGTGAACGATGAACGAGAAAGACCCGGTCAGCCCGCGAGTCATGTGACAAATGAACGATTTGAACGAGAACAAGTACTGCTCTGCTCCACAGCCTAAGCAGACAGAGACCCTTTCGGCCGAGCAGTCGATCACATGACAGCTGGGGAGAGGACAGCGAATGTAAAACTAATTTTGACAATTAATGATACAATTAAAACAAAAAATAATAGTTGATGAGTTGCCTATGTTTACATGGTGCATTTATTGTGTCCAAAAAGTGACATTATTATTATTACTATTATTGTTATTTTTATTGTGTTTGTTGTTATCATTGTTATGTTTTATTATTTTGTGGCAGAGTATAACACAATAAATATGCTGATATAATTTTCTAAAGTATTTATTTACAAACACATTCATTATATAGGCTATACAATAACACAACAAGGACTGAAGACCACTATAATTATGATTTCGTGAATAAATAATCTATATCGGGTGTCACATGACAAATAAACTGTAGATATCAGACATCAATCATTTCCTTGTTCAGCTCTCAGTCAACAGTCCCCCAGCCCCGTAGCTGTCTGAGCCAGCCACAGCTGTCACGTGACGAATGAACGAAAGAGCAATCCGTCAGGATCCGTATGAACGAATCGTGAAGGAACTGCAGTGCTTGCTGCTCACAGACAGCCTGTCTGTCACGTGACTAAAGAACTGGGACCTGAGAATGGATCCAGCTGAGTGAGTGGTGAACGAATCATTTCTGTTTCCTGTCTGCTGCTGACTGAGCTCATGCAGCTGCCGCCATGTGGCGAGAGAAGGTACTGCATGAAAATGAACGAATCGCTCCCTGAGAAGACTCGTTACTCCCGAGTCATATAAAAGATTAGTTCATTTTGAACGAATCGTTCACGAACGATACAACACTACTGGAGAATGATGGGAACAGTAATCTACACACACACACAATCGCATGTTTTATACTTGGCCCATGACCAACAGAGGGAGTATAGTAATGTTATTGTCATAGGTGGTCATGGTCCTTAACCTTCTAAATCATTAGAAAGAAGTGTAAAACATATATTTACAAGACCAAATAAATAATGGAAAAGGGCAGCCTAAAAAGCAAAATGGGAGAATTATTAAGTAATTTTCGGAGTTGCCAAAATAAAATAAAATTCTTTATTTGTCCCATAGGGGGTCATTCTAAATTTAGTGTTGTGCAAATTCAAAAGGAGAAATAATAGCGCTTATAACATCAAGCAGATCTACTCTTTAAGATAATAGATCATATAATAGTAATAATAGAATAGAATGAAATAGTCTGGAGCTATAATGTCATTGGATTCAAGGAGCTATAGGTTGAAGGGTCGCTAAGAAGAGGTGTCAGAATAAACAATAGTAATAATAGTTAGACTAGTGAATAATCATCCATCCACCCATCCATTTTCTTCCCCTTAATCCATTTCTGGGTCGGGGGGGTGGCAGTCAGAGCTGCACCCAAGTCTCATAGCACCAGCCCCTCACTGATCCTCCTGCAGGTGGTGAGTCCACAGGAGTGAATAATCAAAATAGTTTTATTGTGAAAATAAGTATCAATAAGGTCAAATTGTTCTAATAATTAGAGTAAAAAGGAATCAAATGGAGTCAGATTTTAGATGTTTCTGTTTTCCACATCTGTAGGAACTAGTGCAGATGTGTTTATAGAGAGTAGTATTAAAATGCAGACATAGAACGACAGGCTTTAACAAAATTTTAAATCTAAAAATAGCTCAAATATAACATTGCTTTTGACGCAGCCTCTGAGCTGCTCCATTGGAGAACAGGTTAAATGTTATTGTTTATTACAAACAGCTGATGTATTTACACATATTAAGTTTGGGACAACTCTTTAAACAGCTATAAGCAGTGGACAGAAGCAATGAATGGGCTTTTGTTTATTAAATAATTAATTCTATAGCCATATAATCATAGAGAACGTGTATAAAATAGTTCTCTTCTTCCCGCTCCCTTTCAGGCAACTTGCATGAGTGTAGCCTAGACTAATGTAGCTTAGATTAATGAGATAGATTAGAACCAACAGAGATTCAAAAACATTTAAAATCATTTTGGTGAATTTGGGTATAGCACAAAAGTAGATGTTTAGATATTTTTGAGAATTTTAAAAGCTGTCGATTTGTCAGCACGGATTAGAAAATCGAATACCATGGTAGAGTAACTGACCCCAAAAACCTGCTAAAATAGATTAGCTCTTGTAAGGATAATACCAATTTGATTAACGGTGTACATTCATCCCAAACTGTCTTGAGAGGAGGAAGTGACAGCACTTCCTGGTTCAACAAATGTGTTTGGAAAAATGAGCAAAGCCCCACAAAATGGGACAAAGCCACTGTTAATGAAAGCAAAACCATAGTATAGAGAGATTTATTAGATAAAAACATATGTTTAAGAATATGGCTCAATAAAAGCAAATATGCAAACATATTTGTAAATAGATTAGGATAGGTTTAGTGCATACATTACAGACAAGGTTGATGAATCAGAATGACACAGCAGTAGTCATCAAAATAGCATTGAAGGAATGGTTAAAATGTGGTTTGTTGTGTGTTGTTTGTTTTCTCTGTATTGACTCTTCACAGATATCGAGCCTAAAGCACAAGTATTGATGATGAACGAGGAGGTGGATGTGACCTATTGTAAAGATAGGTCAAAAGAGGGACTGACGAATATTCACAAAATGCTGCACATCAGACAAAAGAATATGCACTCAGGAATCATAAGGATGACCAGCTTACAAACCAGACAATTATTGACTCCAAGAATAAACAAATGCTCTCTCCCACTCTCGAGGAGGGCAAAAGTCCAACACAATCAGGCGCCCAGTGATGGGGGCCATTGTTTGCTCAGGCTGATATGGAGGACCAAGACCTGGACCAGGGTCCAGACCGGAGACCAGACCAGAGACCATGTGACGTCATCGGACATGTTGATAAAACCGGGGGTAGGACAGTCTGAGGGAGAAGAGCAGGGATAGAGACAGAGAACATGGCAGAGCGCCTGCATGTTCTCTGCACATTTTCAGGCCTGGAGGGAAAGTTTAGGATGGCATAGCATAGGGTTAGTTTTAGAGAATTAATGGCTCCAAGGGTTTTGTATCGATATTTAATTGTAAAGAGAATTAAATGTTCTATTTTTAACTTTTGCATTCTTGGCCTTATTTCTGTATCGAATTCTGAACACGTCAGTCAAATCTTTTTTGGCGACAGCAGCTAGAGCCCAGATGCGTTCAAAGGCACACGGAGGCGAACACAGACAGTTTAATTCTGGATTAGATTCACTGTCCTTTACTTGTTTAATCATCATACACCTGTGCCTCCCTGTGTTATATTGCTGAAATAATTATTCAAAATATTGATTTTTAATACACATAAGTGCTGCGTGCTGACGCAAGCGCGATGACGTATCGAGCCGAAGGGGATTTACATTTTAAATCGTTGAATTTTCAACATGACGGAATTTGAAGCGTACAAGGAGTTATTTCACTTCCTTGGAGGAGGTAAATGTGAAAATTATGCCACCAAGAAAGCAACAAAAAGCATGGCTCCTCAATATAGGATTAAAGGTAATTCTTTTTATATATTTTTCTATGTAAATGCTTTCTCTTTACGTCTAATGCCAATCAAATGTCCATCAAGACTTAAAATGATAAGACTTGAGATGTAGTTGTTTCTTGATTTCCAGATTGTTTTTTGTATGTTTTTTCAGGTTTATGTATATTTATTGTAGTTTTATTTTTGCTTTTCTTGCGCCTTCATTTTTCCACAAGGGTATGGGCTTTGTTTGGATAGTTTTTAATTTTAAAGGAGTAACCTGGTCCTGCTGAAATTATTGGCTAAAAGTCATGTTATCATGTATAGATGTTTTTATCATTAACTATTTTTTGTATTGTTCAAATCAAGTGTTTTTTTCCCCACTATTTCACAGACAACAGACTCTTGTTGGCCCTCAACAAAAGTGCATGAGGCTTGTGGTGATGTCGGAGGAGGAGAAAAGATCAGTTTTATTGGAGTGCCACTAACGCTGGGACAGGGAACCACTGTGGTGAACGGGCTACACCGTGTGATAGCTGGCTACTACTGGTCAACAATTCACAGCAATGTGCACCAATGGGTAATGTGCATCAGGTTTATACATTTAAATATACAAATATTAAATGCATTATATCAGGGCTTTAACCCCTATCAAGTACTTTTATAGTACCAGCTTATCCCTGGTTCTAACCAGTTGGTGCTGCTGGAAGCCATGGTTACCAAGGAATATCCCCGGAAACTGGTTTGTTGAGTGTAGCTTGCACGGATACTGCACCAAACAATAAAGCGTAATGGAAACACAACCAGGTACAGTAGAATAGAGATCATTATTGTTGATGATTGTGGATGACTGCTTGTCAAAAATAAAACTAAGAAAATTAGAACTTTTAGAAAAAAGACTGGAAGAAAAAACCATCCATCCATCCATTTTCTTCCCCTTAATCCATTTCTGGGTCGGGGGGGGTGGCAGTCAGAGCTGCACCCAGTACACTTAGCACCAGCCCCTCACTGATCCTCCTGCAGGTGGTGAGTCCACAGGAGCTGAGATCTTTCAGTGGGAGCTTCAGGCAAAATGGGGTTAAGTGTCTTGCCCAAGGACACAACGACAGCAGTCATCAGTGGGAGTCGTGAAGTAGGTCTTATGGTGGGCTTGAACCCACGACCTTCAGGCCCAAAGGCCAATGCTCTACCAACTGAGCTACTGTCGCCCCTAAAGAGTTGTGATGGAGTGGGTCGTGATTGATAGTGTGGCCTACGTATTTTTCCCTTTTAAAAAAACATTGACATTTGCGATTTATGCCAAAGGCTGACGAACGAGAGTGGGCACTGTGGAGATAAGTGCATTCATTCTCACAGTTATATCAATTTGCGCTCAGGAAGAGGCCGACTGAGACACGGCAGCAGGTGTTTTCTCTCAGCAACTCAACTAGACATTATTTAACAGATCCGTGCACTTCCCTTTCCACTTGACTTTCAATAACGTTCAAGCTTTTTCCCTGCCTTTAGCCTTGTACCACACGCACTTACCGCTCAAACTCGCTTCTCTCCGCCGCTTGCAGGTGCATGGCCTGTATGGAGATGGAGTGGGTTTTTGTCCCACATATGGAAACTAGGTGATTTTGTTGCTGAAGCTTTGGCAGGGGACGTGGCATTTTGCTCCCCAAAAACAAGAAGCACATTTGTTTAATACATTTCAGAAGTCTAAAACATAAGGTGAACCGGTAATTCTAAAAACCAAGAAAACTTTCAAGTTTCCACAATGACTTTTAAAACAAGTATTCTATACCTGGTTGTTCAACTTTTTCTATAATTCTTGCTTATTTTTTAGACTTTCTTCACACTATCAACTCGTTCTTGTAAAATCTCCTTCCCAATGTATTTTTCCCCTCTTATTCAACTTTCTCTTCACCAGCTGAAAAAACTAATCCATCTCTCCTCTCTCTCTAATTGTTGTTCTAGTTAGTGAGTTTTGTTTTGTCCGTTTAGTTTGAGCTTAAACAGACAAAACACTTAACACATAAAACACATGGACAAATGAAGAACCACACAAGACAAGAAGGACGAAGACAAACAAAAGAAAACACATGGACAGAGGACCACATGGCCCAAAATGGCGGTCATCTACTTTTTGCAATGTCCAATCCAATTTTGAGTAATTTAAAGGTCTTTAAACGTCCAATTTCTTTTGTGTATTTAGATATCTTTAAATGTCAAATTTCTGTTTAGAAGTAATGTAGAAGTTCTGTCCGAAGTAATTCAATTCTAACACATTCATTTACAGGGTAAACTCTCGTTACCTTTTGAAGGAAACCCCTTCTATCGAGCTCTGTAAAAGTCCATTGACTAAAGGCTAACTCTGTGTTATCCTAATGAAAGCCCCGTTCATCGAGCTCCACAAATCTCTTTGATATTAGTCCCGGACAATAATTCGTTGTAGTGTAATATAAAGTCAGGACTCACGATAATTCTGCGTTTTCCTAAATATTGTGTTCATGTGAACTTCACACACTTCCTGGATACTTTTGGACATAATTTAGAGTGGGAGGTACAGAACTTGCCTTTGCTGCGATTTCATCTGGAATAAACTGTAGTTCTACCGTCGACTACAACCCAGGGCTGTCCTGCCTCAACCTGGAGTTCCAATGCAGTTCAGTGTGCAGAAGGCCTTGCTGTTGCTCCTTGGAAGGTCCATGTTTGGACAAGCTCAGCTCTGTAAGAAGTGTTGGGATCCGGATTCGAAGGACCAAGTGATAAAGCTGTTTCAACTTCTTGTTTGAACCTGATGAAAATCTCACAAACAAAAGAGACAAAGTTAATCTTTTACTTGTAACAATTGTACAAGGAGAATGTCTTGACAGAGGCAAGCGCACAGACCCTAGCCCTCTCTAGAGACAAGTCTGAAGATTCACAGTTCTGCAAGCCCCTTTTGGTAGAGCAAGACACACCTTCGTAATGCAGATGGATAAAGGAAGAAACCAAACACAACAAAAGACACTTAGCATATGAGCTCCCCAGACCTCCCGGTTGTCTTCCTGAAGCAAAGTGAATTACAATACAGAGCATTCAGACATTTGCCACATATGATTTACCAACATGATATACTTAAGTTACATTCCAATATCAGCAGGGCTTTAGACCTCGCTGCACAGCGTGGCACAGGAAGTCCTGCAGCACTTCTGCTCCTCGGGACACTGACCATTTGTGGTGAAGTACTCCGCACACATCTGTGAAGGTGAGGCAGGGAGGCATCGGCGCGCTTCACTGGACACAAAAACACAGAATGTAGTGTTTCTCCAATACTGTGTACTAGGCCGTCAACCTGGGTAATAGTCTAGAACTAGTTAAGTTTGTGTTAAGCCATGTTCAAAACATATTAGTAGTAGTAGTTAGAGACTTAATATGTTTGTACTCAGGAGGCCCAAGTATATTCTCTGGATAGTCTCTGTGGACAGGACAGCTTTGAAATCTGATTAAACCTTTTTTGTATATCCAAAGATTGTGCTTTGGAACAAAGTTGTCTCCTCTTTCAATTCCATCACTGCATTGTGTTAGCCGGTTCAGACCGGATCATGCGTCGCGTCGGGGTTTCAATGCAAAGTCTATGGTGACGCGCGTTGCAGCGTCAAAACGCACCGACCTCACGGCACTAGGGTTGGCAACCGTCCCTTGAAATACGAAATGTCCCGTATTATAGAAGAAAAACTATGGCGTCCGTATTGAAACCGATACGGGAGACTTTTGTCCCGTTTTTCAGAGCCACCTTAAATCCGTCATTCACTCACTGCATGTACACGCTCAACCATAGAATGAATACGCTTGACACACGCACACACAACACACACAAGTAATCACAGTTTAAGCTTCTACTTTTCGGCCATCAGGTCAAAGGGGCGTAGACTTGATCACATTCAGGTTTAATGTTGACAATCGGCTGCGTGGACTGCTCAAGCTAGCCTCTCATGAGCAGAAGTTTCTGGGTAAGTAGGTCATATTCCCAGTTTCGGACTTGGGGCCCGGTCCCGACCCCGGGCTCGGGTCCGGGGCTGCGTGGCCCGAGTCCCAGAAACAATAAAAAAAACCCTCCGTGGCCCGGTCCCAGACCTGCGGGCCCAGTCCCAGACCTCCGTGGCCCGGTCCAGACCTCGTGGCCCCGGTCCAGATCCTGCGTGGCCCAGTCCCAGACCTCCGTGGGGTGGGGGGGGGGAGGGAGGGGGGGTGGGGGGGGGGGGGGGGGGGGGGGCCCGGTCCCTAGACTGCGTGGCCCAGTCCTAAGACCTGCGTGGCCCAGCCCAGACCGCCGTGGAGCCCGGTCCCAGACCCCCGGGCCTCGGTCCAGCACCAGTTATGACTGTAGTAACCGGATTCTATTTCTTCAATCAATCAAATCAAAATTTTAATTTTATAAAGCCTTTTTCATACAAAGATGCTAACACAAATTGCTTTACAGTTTGGTTAAAAACAATCCCGCCGGCCAAGACCCCTCCCCCCGACCACCCAACAGACCCTCCCAACCACAGACAAACACACAACGCTCTCATGAACCACTCATACACACACCACTCCAGTAAAAACAATTAAACATGATGAGAGACTTGCAGGTTCAGTGCAAACCAGCTGAAAAGCGTCAAGGAGCCGTCTGCCACCAGGAGCAGAGAGCCGCCGTAGCCACAGGGGACAACACAGGACCCAGCGGGTGAGACACGGAACGAGGCCCAGGCCCCACCAGGCCAAGCGTCGACCCCCGAGCACACCGACACTGCTCCCTGTGCAGAGGGCTCCTCCAGAGGAATCACTGGGTACACTTAAGGCCATGTTATACTGAGGACGCTGCGCAGTCGGTTCAAGCGATTATCAGAAACGACCGGGTCCTTATGCCCACATTTCTCAGCGTACATACGAGGTTGAAAAACGATGTAGTTCTAGCGCCCGGCCAGTAGGGGGAAGAAGAGAAACTTTTCAAACCACACACGCATGGACCCCCTGCCAGTAGTAATCACTTCCGCAACGCAAACCGTGTTCGACCATCACTCTGCATTTAACAACAGCAGCAACAACAATGGAAGAATGTAGCTACGCCTCCCGTGGTTTCATCTGGACGGCGGATTGAGGTGGGAGATTGCTCTCCGTGTAACGCTGGTGTACAAGACGACTAAGTGCCAGGAGAACGTCGACAGGGAGTCGTGCCAGTCTAAATACAAAGGTCATATATCGAGGACTTTGTAAGACAATATCCCCAAGGGCAGACAAGACGAGTTCCCCACAGCAACGGGTGATCTCGCCAAGCACAATTCAGTCAAATTGAGGCTGTTAGGACGAAGTACAGAAAAAAGCGGTGGACACGGGGAAGAGAAGTGGCCAAGGACGAGTTTGTTCATATTCTTCGAGCTGTGCCAACAATTTTGGGGAGGGTCACCAGCCATGAGACCATCGCAGGCGGTCTGGAGCCGGCGGATGCGAAGATGATGATCCCGCCTATACCCGTAGCTCAACCTCTCTCTCTGAAAGCCAAGGAAAATGTGGAGAATGACAATAGGGTCGTCTTCTGGGGTGGTCAACCTCGAGACGAAAATATGCTCCAAGTAAGTACTTGAGTTCATTGGGTGGGACTTTTGTGATAATAAAGGATATTAATTCGTTAAGAGCTAATTCTATTGCTCTATTATAATTTAATTTTTGAAGGCACTGTATATATATATATATATATATATATATATCTCCTGAACACCCACAGGAGGAGAGCCTTTTGACTACAAAACAGACAAGATTTACATGGTTTTCAATGGGAGCCAAACGGAGTTGCATCCATCTCTGCTCATAAACTACAGACAGTAATGCGCTGCAGTGCGTGTGTCTATACTTTGTCAAATGTAAACTGTAAAGGGGCCGAATACTTTCGCAAGGCACTGTGCATATAGCTCGTAGTGTGAAAAAAATATGTATTTATCTCACGAAAAAAGTAAAATGAACTGAACTTTGAACTAGTTCAGAATTAAAAATGTGAACTTTGAACGTGTTCTGTTCACTTTGAGCATGTATATGAACTGAACTTGAACTTGTTCAGAAAAGCTGTGAACTGGCACAACACTGCATAGGAGGGGGGGGACATGAAGTGGGAGATGGGGGGGAGGGGTTAATAAAAAAGGCAATACAAGCAAACAGTATACAGTCATAGATATACCGAAAGTAAACAGAGAAACAGCATAGAGTATTTACATGAACAAATTTACAAAATATTTACAGATTGTTTATCATCATCATAATGACACCATGGTGTTTCTATACAGTCTATGGTCTATACCCACACATACACACACACACCCACACATATGTGTGACTAATTTGCGATTAATCGCGAGTTAACTATGAAATTCATGCGATTAAATATTTTAATCGTTGGACAGCACTAGTTTGGATATATTGGGACCTGGGGCTAAAGGGAGATATCCAGTCACTCTGGGTTCAACTCTGCAGCGGAAGAGTGACCATACATGACTCACTGTTCCAGTAATATTTCACACCAACATCATCTCCAAAAAAGATGGAGAAGGGTCTCTGTATTATCCAAGAGGCAGATTTAAGAGTCAAACTACTCAAAACGTAATCCACCCGCAGCTTTACAGAATAGGGGGAGATTGTTCATAGTTGTGACCCAGGATATGGGTTTGGATAGAGCCTTTTGGACACTAAATTAAACTGGTTGCCATGAGACGACGAGATCAACAAATACATTGCACCGATATTGGAAGAAATCATTTTAATGTTCAAAACTCACATTCAACTCTTCAGCCACTCGACCCAAATGGAGTTACACGGTGACAACCATTCTGACAAGGGCTTGACACTATTAACCTCTTCTGAGCTGTAATGACTCCTTGATAGGTCAACCTTTTTAAAAGCATCGTAATATCAAACCTTCTAAAACCTGTCGCACAGTCACTGAAATGCCCACTACTTTTGCACAAGAGCAATGGGAGGCCGAGGTGCTCACAGCTGTAATTATGTACCCACACATATTTCTCAAGAGTCAGAGCAGTGTGATCAGTGTAACCAAACTTCCTCTTTTGTGGTGAGTTGCTAAGACTTCCCTTTCTGACAGGAAGTGGCAGGAAGTGAAAAAACGATGAGTGTTTGACAGTATGAATGGGTGGAGTTCTTGGTTTTGTCAGACACTGAATATCAGACAATACTTTGGGATTGTGACTGTTCAAGATGTCACAGAATAATACTTTGGGGAATATGGTGAGTGTGAAACACTTGAGCGTGTTTTTCATTTCTAGTATCACTTATTTTTTCTTTTTGGCCACAATATCAGCTTCAGTTCTGATCTTGAGTCGGGGACAGAACTGCAGCTGTCTGTTATGTGTAGGACAACTTGCAAATGTTTGGAACAGCTGTTGATTCAGTGTTATTTTGTTTCTTTGTCATTAACTGTTGCTGGATACATGCAAAAGAGAAGGCACAAACTTATGAAAATGTGCAGCTATGAGCTGCCACTGCTTTTCTCTGCTGAAGTGCTGTTTCGGCCGCCCATGGCCCTTCAGCAGAATTGTTTTCATATTACATACTACATGCCTATTAATGAATACTCGAATTGATCAAGTCATTATTCGTGTTATGTAGATTTGTATCTATAAAAGATGGTAAAATATTTTTGTTATTATACATATTTTAGGTGTTTGTAATCTTATGTTTTTTATGCCATAGCCTAATATTAATCTGTAGTATGCTATTGTTTTCTATTATAGCACATTCTTATTCATAGATAGGAACTGTATTCTGTGAGAAAATTCATCTTTTTCCCTTAAAGTTGAAATGAATTGGGACACAAACGACCAAAAACACAATTCCTTGATTTAAGTTGTTTCAAAAGCGTCCATTTGAAACCGTTCTAACTCACCTTTTGTCACTGGTAAAGTCTTGACTGATTGCACATTTACAGCTGATTCCGAGGTAAAGTAATGCTTCTCTTATCCTGTCTTTCTTGCAGACTCAGGCGGTGTCAGATGGAGGTAAACACTCGCTGCCAAAAGTCGCTCTGCCGCTCGACATGTTGTTGCATGACACTCACATTTCTGCTTTTCTCACGTCTGCCATGCGTTTGTTCACTAATGGGTGTGTTTGGTGGGCTGTAGAGCTAAACATGTCTGCGCGCAGCTGTGGAGGCAGTAGTTCTAGTCTTCCCGGGACCCCAGGAGGAGAGGGACCAGCCAACAGTGTGCTCAGATGGGCAGTCTCTTTTGAAAACCTCTTGGAGGACCCCTGTGGTGTTCGATACTTCACGGTGAGACAAGTACACAGTGACTTACGTATTGTTTTGGTTTGAACTGTGCTTCTCCACAGGACTTTCTGATGTCCGAGGTCAGTGCAGAGAACATCTTATTTTGGCAGGCCTGTGAAAAGTTCAAGAAAATCCCAGCCACATCTTTGAATGAGGTTTGGCTATTACATGATATAACTGCTATGTTATAAAATGCATAATGTTATGTTTTACTTGAATTGTTTAAAACAGTTTCTTATATGCTGTTTATCTTAGCTGAAGACTTCGGCTTGTTCCATGTTCAACATGTATCTGTCTGAGAGCGCTCCGTATTCTGTGAACATCGATGACTCTGCTCGAATTGAGGAGCAGGACTTGGAGCAGCCTACACCCGACATGTTTACCAAGGCTCAGGCTCAGGTCTGTTGTCCCTCTGCTGACGTCGGACCATCCCACTCACCTTTGTCTTCTCTACAGATTTTTAAACTCATGAAGATGGACAGCTATCGTCGCTTTGTGCGCTCGCCACTGTACCAGAGCTGCACTTTGTCCAGTGTTGAAGGCAAATCTCTGCCATCTCTTTCCTCAGAAGCCAATAAAGGGTCCCAGGACAATGTGACCAGGAGCCCCTACAGTGACAAAAAGGTTCAGCCAAACACACCACACTCGCACAAGGAGCTGAAGGCGACGCTATTTAACTTTAGGAGGTGGCACATCCTTACATGTTTCCATGGAGCTAGAAAGTGGATTGAGAAACCTTAAAAGCGACAGAATGCAAGATTTTGATATTAAAATACGCACCCAACTTTTATTTGTGGCCTTAGACACGAGCTAAACATGGACAAATCATATCCAATGTATACTTAAATCTGCACTAACAGACTTTGAGAAATTTTCTGTGCGCTTGGCTCGCTCTTTTTGCTCGCCCTCCCCCGCACCCACGGAGCTTCCCCCCCCCCCCATTACCCCCCTCCCCCTCAGCCTGTGCTAATGTGCTAAATGTATACGGAGCTCACGTCTCACAATATGGATCGCACATTTGAACGTGGATGGCGTGACCATAGAATGATAGAACTGGGAAGCGCGGAGTAAGCAGTTGCCCTGTTTCCCTGAGTAAGCAGTAACCGGTAACGAAGACACGGGAAGCTTCAGGTTAGCCTCCGCCGCTTGTTTACCTCAGCTGTCTGTGCTAACAAGAGACCTGTAGCTTTTCTCAAGAAAGTGGGGACCAGTGGTCCGCTGTGATTGGTCACAATCTGGACCGAAACAAATTCTCTTCCTTGTTTCACAAAAACTTGATCTAAAATAAAATGACACGCCAGCACAAATCTGCGCTACTTTTTCTTCAAAAGGACATATATCCCAATGCACTGCATGGATATGGATTGAATTTTTGTAAAGAATACGAAAATAAAGTCAGGTAATGCAGCTTTAAAGTGATGGCCTAGAGTCAGAAAAAAGAGGTGCATGATTTGAAGAAACTGACCCAAGCTCCCTCCCCCTTCCTTTCTGATTTGTCTCAAAGCCGTGCCTACTTTTCCGTGCACGCGCCAGAGGAGAGATTATTAATTTAAATATTTGTATATTTAATCATAGTATATTATACAGCTCCTCACAGCAGCAGCAGAATGCTCCATTGATTTGAATGTACTTTCAAAATGTTCTGATAATTATTTCTTGATAACGGACCTCTCAAACCAATAATAGCCGCTTCCCTTTGGCAACGCAATCTGTGCTTGTAATTCAGGTGTGTGAAATACGAATTACTCCGGACAGTAGTTCGTACACTTCGTCACAACAGGCTTTCAGCGCCTGTCACTTAATTCTTCTGTCTGTGCGAGAGAAGCTATTGGAGCTAGCCAAGCTCAATAACACATATCCATCAATCAACACATTTAAATGTTAATCGGAGAATACGTTATACATTTACATTCTTAACACACATGCACAGAGGTTTTCAGAATTATCTGTTAACGTTTTCATGACAAAAATACTGTCTAATGCGTCCAAAAGCGATCGCGGTGAGCCGGAAGTAAATATTAACAATAGAACATTTAGGACACATTTGCAGAAAATATGATTATGGATTTAGGTTAAGTTAATATTTGGGTCACTCACTGCTGATGTTCAGAATTATTTGTTCACTTTTCATGTAGCTCCAGAGAGTTCTAGTTAGCTAGCGTAGCTGTTACCCGTCTGGCCACGTCACCAAAACCTTTGGGAACAAACTATTTTATATATATCCTTTAAAAAGATAATGCCCATTACAGCTTCGAATATTAAGGGCTGTCTAATATTCGTTTGAATATATAATTATAGTTGAATTATATACAAGCATGAGCGCGACGAGAGCCCCTGGCATCACTTGATCGATTTAAAGTGGACGGCATCGTGGATTTTGAGCTATAACTAAAAAGCGGGACTTACCTGTAATATTATATTTCATAAAATGAATTATTTTATATCAAACTTTAAGGCCAGGAGGTCAATTTAATACAATTCTTGAAAGTTGTAATCCACTTGTAATTAAATTCCAGACTATCACTTTAATGTTTGTCAGGCTGCTGTTATTACAGCAGAAAGCAGTCTCTCGTTTAGGTCGCCAGTTTATTTGTGAACTCCAGATCTGTTTTTTTTTTTTTTTTTTCTATTTTCAACTCAAGCGGCAGATCAGAGATCAGGGTAGTACTTTGCAGCCAGTAGAAACACTGGCAACAACTGGTTTAAATGTATTTGTAATAGTAGATTAAGTAGATAAAATGATAAAGACTGTTTCTTGTAGATTAGATTATAGATTAGTTTCCATGGAAACAAGCAGGTCGTCAAGAATTAGGTGCAAGTCCATTTGTCTTATAATTAATAGATCACTTAAAGAGATGTGAATGAAAAGACGTCTGTAATGTAACACAAAGTTATTGAACATTTACTAATTTATATTTCCATATTGTTTTAAGCAGAACAGAAAGTCAGACTTCAGCAGTCTGAGAAATAAACAGCAGCAGAAACGAGGATCCTGGGGAGGTAGGATGAGCTTTAGTCTATTATTTATTTTGTCATTGACTTTATTTTCTTCATTTGAATAGAAGTAGAAGCTTCTGCTGCAAATGTTTTGGTGTTCCGAAAAGATTACCAGACGTCAAGCAAGTCCAACACCGCAGAGCTGGGCTCCCTCTACAGGCAGATTGAGGTCGGCACGTGTGTTTAAAAACCTTCTGCAAGGGTTGGTCATCCAAATCATGTCAGAGCTCTTGTTTTCTTTAGAATGGGAGGTCTTCCCTTCTTTCCTCAGTTGAGGGTGGCCATGGCCGGCTCGGAGTGGAAGGTGGTTACTGCTGCGTTTATCTTCCCGATGGTAGTGCTTCTCTGGTCCCCACTCGGCCTGGGCTGGACATTAGAGAAATGCTTCAGAGCCTGTGTGAGAAGAGGCGCTTCCCACTCAAAGATGTCATAATTTACCTTCATGGCAAGGACAAGGTGAGGGCAGTTTGTCTCAGAAGGCATCTTCAATCCACATGATGTCAGTGACTAATGGACTGTAAGCATTGACTGTTCCATATGGTGTCTGTCCTCCTGCAGCAGCAGCCTCTGTCTCTGGACCAGGACTGCGCTGTGCTCCGGGATCATCAAGTGTCTCTGGAGCTCAGGGTGAAGTTTGCGTGAGTCGGCCACTTCCTGCTCTTTTCAGCTTTTGGTGTGAGGCCGGTTGCTCATTTTTAGGAGGAAGTCGTTGTGGGTCTTGCTTTCACTGAAACAAATGCTTGATGAAATTAGAATGTGTTAGAATGTGTTATTTTGGCATCAGTGTGTGGGCTCCTTTGAGTGGCGGATACTTATTACTTGTCACTTCCTCACTGTGCTCATGTGAAATATAATTTCAGACTTGAAATAGCATTTACTGGTAAGACAGTCGGCATAATGGTAAAGTCAAGCAAGACGCTACAGGACGCTTTGTCTGCGGTGCTGCAGAAGCATAATCTAAAAGTACCTGAGGTGCAGCTCTCTATGGTTTGTACAAAGTACATCATCAAGATTCTGAGTAAAATTACTGTAAATCTTAGGTGTTTGTTTTTATCCATTTTTCTTGTTGTAGGTCGACAGTGACGATGCAGTAAGCATGAACACCAGTGTGTTCAAACTGGCCAACAAGACACTTCGGCTGGACAAAGCCAAAGGTCAGGGTGGGGACTTTCCCTCTGTCCTAAATGAGCCAGAGCTGCACTTCTCCAGCAACACAAACACAGCTAATTTACACAACCCTTTGAGTTTGTTCATTTCAAACTCTATTTTCTTCCTTGAGTTCATTGCAATTTTGAGGACCCCCTCGGAAACGAGATGTTTCATCTCTAGGGGCTTATCCTCCCAGTAAATGGAATAAATGAATGTCTTTGGAGATGGTCAAATACATTTCAGTTGATATCTTTTTGCTCTGGCGTTTTATGTAAAAGCAGCCTCTTTGTTGACTTCAACTTGCTTCAGGCGAACAGTCTTTTCACTGTCCACTGAAGTGCTTTGGTTTAAGTGTGTCATGCAGAACCTGCGCCTCTCTGTCCAGAGCTGTCTCTCTGGTTATGAGTCTCTTCACTCCAGAACTGTCTGACTCCGTTTTGGTTGTTGAATACTGTGTCTCTTTGGATTCACTGCATTTTTTTCTAAACCAAAGCTAACTTCACTTGGCGGCACGGTGGCTGAGTGGATAGCACTCTCGCCTCTCAGCAAGAAGGTCCTGGGTTCGAATCCCGGTCGGACCAGGGCCTTTCTGAGTGGAGTTTGCATGTTCTCCCCGTGTCTGCGTAGGTTTCCTCCGGGTACTCCGGTTTCCCCTACCGCTAAAAATATGTCCAATAGTTCTGGCATGTGCCTCCTGTACTGGCGACCCCGCTCCCATCTCTGTGTGGAGTGAGAGACAAATGCCCAAAAATTAACAATTGTAAACCGCTTTGAGACTCAGATCTGCAGTGAAAAGGCGGTATATAAATAAAGATTACTTACTACTACTACTACTACTTAGGATCAAATCTGTATCTTTCAACGTTAAGTGAAAAATCATATTCACATTATTGAACAACTTGTTTGTTCCTGTGTAGGGAAGGACACAAACCTTTCTAAAGCCACAGCTCATACGACTACAGAGGTGACACACGAAACTTAAATCATTCAAAACGAATAATAATTGCCAGAAAAAGTTCAATCAAGTGACATTCACTCCCATTCTCATTCCCTTACAGGCATTTCCAGGGACTGATGGGGATAAGATGTTTCGATCACAATCACACAATGACAGGAACAAGGCGCAGCCCAAGCCCAGTAAGAACCGCGACATGGATGGTAGGACACCCAGTGTGGGTCCAGTTAAATGCAATAATAGAATATTATTAGGGAGAAATCCAGACACAAAATAAATATAATTTGGGTTAAGGTTCTTGTAGTATACTATTCAAAATAAGCTGAACCTTGTTGAAACTTATTAGTCTTTTCAATATTAAGTGAAATTTTAATTGGAGACTTGAATCACACAAGCCTTTGCCCTCCATTCAAAGACTTGTGTTTCAGTTGGAACACATTGTGGGCTTTGCAGGGCTGCTGGACATGCTGAGCAGAGCACAGTGCTGCCGCGTGGATGACCAGAGAGGACTCCTGACCAAAGAGCAGCTTGAAGTGCCTCAGTTTCTGCAGAAGAGCCCTGAGGATGGAGAGGTGAAGCCCAACGCGACTTCCTCCCCCCCTCATCCCACAGACGAAGACAGCCCTGACTGCAAGGATCCCCGGATTCCAACAGCAGCAGAAGACGTGAGAGAAACTCATGTATGAGCCACGTCGCGTGTGGGAGATATGGACCAAGCACTTCTATTCCACATAAGCTCTGATACCAAAATTAAACTATTAGTTTCCTTTGAACACTACAAAAGCTAGTGTTTGATGTAATTGCACTCTGATTCGTGAGGCAGAGCAACATGGAATCGTTGTTAGAAAGTTGTTATGGAAAGTGTGTATTTAAGTCATTATGCCAGGGCCAGGGCCATGTTGAGTGTTTTACTGAATCCTATTGTGTGCTTAAGGCTTTTTTTTTTAAACATGTGTACATGCATGTGGTGTGCTTAGTGTGTTGTGTTATTAGTTCTTATACCTTGTTTTACCTTGTTTTACCTTGTTTTTTTCCCCTGATGCCACTTGGACATTCTCTGCCTTGGCTGCCTTTGCCTCTCAGTGTGGCTCCATCCAAAAGCAAATCCTGAAGAGTGAAATGAACTGTCATGAGATTTTAGCTGGAGCTTTTGTAGAAAGGATTAAATGTGTAAAGATGTTTTTGGAGTTGTTGCTGTCTGGGCTCATCTTTCTCTGTCAGGATTAATCACTGGATGATTCACAGAGGTCAGCTCCTCAAATACATGATGGCTTTAGTGAGAGTGGACCAGTGATGACTCATGCTGTTAGACCTGTCTGTCACATACATGAGTGCTAATTCTTTCTTACTATTATAGTTTAATGTCATGGCATCACAGTTTGCCATCAGGTTTTGCACAGTGACGGGGGATGTGGGGATTCTGATTGGTCCTTTGCAGCAGATGTAGCCAATGAACAACCTAATTTTTGAAAAACTTGTTGCTGGAAAGTGTCTTTCATGTAGAGGCTCCATTACAATACACCGTGCATTTGGAAATTGTAAAGATTCAATATAAGAGCGATGAGTCATGGCTGTGCTTATGTGGATGATGTGAGCTCGGCAGCGTGCTTCTTTGTGTTGCATTTACACTGGTGTCAGCTCTGAGTGCTGGAGAATGCTAGGCTCTGTGGTGGTTGTTCAAGAAGTATTCACATTAGCAGTGCCAAAGAGAAGCTGGCTCAGACAGCTGCACACCTGGTGTGTGTGTCTGTGCTGCGTCGGTGGAGCTATGAATGGGCACCGAGGGGTGTGCGCTCAGACAGCATCGCATCGTCAGTGAGATGAGAGCCCTCCACTGCTCTGCACGTCTGCATTGAGGCACACGAGAGCTGAGGTGAGTGCTTTTCTTTTCAATCTATTAAAACAAAAAACTATCTCTTCACTCATTTGGGGCTGCTGTATGTGGCTCCTTTTTCATTTCTTCAATCTACTCTGTGAATGTGCCATTAATACAAGTCTTTAACATTCTGGCATGCAGGAGTAACTGGAAGTGTTGTACTCTGTCTGAGCTTCCTGCAGAGGGATTCAGGCAGCTGAAAAACAAACTGGTTAGTCATTTGCAGTCTTCACCTCCGTGTAATGTGTGAAGGGCAGTCTGCTAAATGCTCTGGTCGGTGCTATGGCGGCAGGATCAGTTATTTCTCAGGTGACTGCACAACATTCCTATTCTTCAGATGGAGTCAGACACCACATGTGCACGGCACACTCAGCATGACACTGCACACACCCATCACATCAGAGAGATGAGGACGTGGGCTGCACCATTTTGGAGAATAATTATTTACTGTAGAAAAAGTTACAAGAAGAATTATAGGAGGGAATGAAAATATTAGGCTTTTCAATGTTAAGACTTGTTTTTAATGTATTTATTTACTTTTGTAGTTTATTTTCCTGCTGGAAATTTTGACTGGACTTAAAACAATGTTAAGACTGGATTTCTGTTGGCAGATCAATTTTGAAGGTGTCAAATAAATTATGAAATGCTAATTTAATATTTGCAGTGAGTTTGTTTTTCTAAACCTGTTTTAGGCTGTAATTGGGGATACTTTGATTTCTATAATATAACTTGATGTTTGAGGATTGTTTTGTCTTTTGGCTTTTTTTAGATTTCCCAGTTGCATATTTTTATTGGATTGCAATTATTCTTCCAATACTGACTTAAAGGCAGCAGCAGAGATGGCAGTCTCCATGTGCTCAATCACTGCCTCTTGTCGACATAACCCATAATTAAAGGTTTATTCTTAGCACCGCTCTCAGATCGACACAAGTCAGGAAACGTAATGTTAGGTCTCCATCTGTGGAGAAAGGCTTCAGTGACCTCTTAACCCGAATACTATTAGTCTTCATGGACAGTAGCCCCGGGCAGCTCTGTAATCACATCAGCCTGGCCCAATCTTTTATTAAAACTCCATTTGTACAACTGATGCCGTTAGTCACGAAGGTCTGTGAAAGGCCAGTCTCAACAATTTGGTGGTTTTACACCAAATCTAATTTGTTCTGGCGTACAAAAAGAGGACTAGTTTATTTTACTGTTTTGATTTTACAATTTAAGATCATTTTTTTTCAACCATTCTCTTATTGTAAAGATGAAATATTTGCTTTGCTTCCCTCTCGTATCCAAAGGCTGCTGGCAAGAGAAGGGTTAAGATGCCTTGGGGACTAAATATTCAGTTTGCTCACTCATGCAGATAGAAGTGCCTTTAAAAAGGTCTCAGTGTTTCTGTGAGGCTGAGTTTTCATGATTGCATAACTGGGATCTGTGCTGATGTGCACACAAGACAGAGGATTGGGAGGTGCAGACTTCATTGTCTATCTACTGTAGCCTTTCTGAAGGATCCTGATGCACTGAAACTACTCATTCAAAGTGACGTGTTTGACCCTCACTTTGAGCCTGCACAGGCAGATAGTCGTTATGTGGGGGTCAGTTCTCCTGGTGCTCTCCTCTAAGGCTTTATATTCAGCATACTTTAGATTTAGTACAATATTCACCTCACATTTAATATATATGTTAGATTATTCACAATTCTGATGTCCAAACTCATTTTGGTCAGGGGCTAAATAAGAATAATTGGAACTATGGTTGGGGGCTGAAAGAATAGAAGGGGTTTCCTTTTCTTATAAATATTAGTATATAGTATATTTACATTGTGTTTTGACATTTTTCTGAAAACAGAAATTGAACCAAAACTGTCATATATATTTTTTTATATTTAACTTCTAAAGATGTTTTGGGTTAACCCTTGGTAGCACATTACCATCAAAGCTGAAGTGGATAGTACTCAACTCTTTTCAGCAAGATGGTTTGAATCTCGATCAGAACAGGGCCTTTCAGAATGGAGTTTGCATGTTCTCCCCGTGTCTGTGTAGGTTTCCTGTGTGCTCCGGTTTCCCCATCACTAAAAACATGCACAATGGGTATTAATGTAAATGAGGGAATAAATGGATGGTGTTGATTGGGGCTCTCATGCGCTTGGTGTTTGGCGACTTGCTTCCGTCATCACCTTGTGTGGAATGATTGGAACAATATCTGAACTCTGAACATTGCAAAGCACTTTGGGTGACCTTGGTCTGTAAAGTGTGCTATATAAATAAACATTGCTTACTTACTTACTATAATTGAAAATAGAAATTCCCCTTCAGTCTCTGCTGGGGACAGGGCCGACTCCAGCGGTCTCTGTGGGAGTGAGCTCCTGTTGCTCACGTCCCATTCATTCTTTATGAAGCTGAAGCTCGGCTTCCGGTGCAGCTGAGACTGGTCCAGGATCATTCCAGCACAAAAATAACATTTGTGTTTTGCTTTGTGGAAAAAGCAACTTCCCATGATCTTTCTCTACTGGGTTTTCCAGTGAGATCAGTTCCAAATATTGTTCAGACTAGTCTGTAAATTAGCAAAATTTCTACATTTCTACAACTATAGCATGGTTTGGTTCAGATCCTTTTATTTTGGCTCATCTCACCTTTTGGATCCTTGTAGAGCACCTGGTCCATCTGTTTTTAACATTTAAGACCCATTCATGCATTCTCCTCCTGCGTTTGTTTGGACTACAGCCCAGGTTACTTTGAAGCCTTGGGCTTTTGAGAATCTTAACACACACATTTTATGCAAACTTCCACAACCTCTAAAGTTGGCTGTTGCAAACGTGGATATACAATTAGACTTTGATTGATCTGTCTTTTTAATATGTATTGGTTTGCTGTATCAGGAGGAGCTCACTTAAGACTCCAGCTGAATTGATCCAAGAGGAAAGTGGTCCTCTCTGCAGCACACAATATTTGAACTCCACATCTCACCTTTCATGTATTTATCAATGCCAAGATCACAGTAAATTTGTCATCTTTTACCTGAATCTCCAACGTTATCAAAGCCAATATTGGTCCAAATGAAGCCCGTTTTAATTCATTGAGGTTGGCTCATGTATATTCCAGTTTTTACAGCGTAAGCACACGGGACACGATCCAGTGTTTTAGAATATCCAAACCTTAAAGCTGAATAAACATTTTCATGCAGATCTACACCCGACGGACACTGGACTCGAGCGTACAGGTGCTGTTGTCTTCAGAGCCAACTGCATTATGGAGCAGAAGATAAATGAGGTCGGTGCTTCAAATGTCATATTTTTGAATCTAATCTGGCTTCGAAGTGACTAACATTATCTGCAGGGTCCTAACAACACATCCCCTCAAAAGCAGATGAAGAACCGCTCTAAGTCTATAGAGGGGACGCAACAAATGAGGAAGGTAACTGTTGTGATGGATTTTTCTATTATTGCATAAATATATCTTACCAAGTTCCTGCTATACACTTATTCAATTGTACACATTTTATGTTTTGCGTCCAGGGCATTTCTTCACAGAAATCCCTTCCATGCAGACCAGAGCTGGAAAAGGTTAAGGTACGTTCTATGTGGCACGTTGGTGGTCTTAACAAGTTTGTCAGTCTGTCAGTGTGTGGATTAAAGTGTTTGTTGGACAGTTCTTGAATGTCATGTTTATAGTGAATTGTATTGACATTTTGGACTCGTTCCAAATGCCGCTTCCATTAGTGCTTCAGAGGATAATGGTTCAAGAAAAACAAACTACTGTGTCATGTTAATTCAAAAAAGTAAATTTGTTTTGGTTCTATTAAAGGACAAGATGTGATACATTAATGGACATTTAAAAAGAGACATTTGGGAAAGTCACTAGGGCCAGAAAAGAACAAGAACAAACCTCAACTCAGCAACACACATCGCTGAAGGGAAATAGATAATACAAACGCGGATCCAGCCATGAGGCATGAGTGAGCGGAATGGCGGCTGAGTGGATAGTACTCTCAGGTCCTGGGTTCGAATCCCAGTAAGAAGTTCCGGATTCCCCCTACGACAAAATACATGCCCAATTGGTAAATCCTCCAGCTCCGGTACTGGCCATCAACATCTGGAGATGGGTTCCCGAGAGCTGTACTGCAGCGACCGCTGCTCCTGACAGAGGCCCTATGGCTTCAGGGTGGGTCAAATGCAGAAAACAAAGTTTCCTAAGGGAATAAAGTGCACATTTTATTTTTGCTTTCCCGCACATGTGACACTTTCCTCCACAGATCATGATAATAGATAATGCCTTGTTAATTCACTTCATACACAGTTGTAGACTACTACTGTAGCCACAGCTGCCCTGGTGCCGTCTGATGATAGCAAGGCAACCAGTATTTGCCATCGGCCGCCGCTACAGTGCCTTTGCGAAAGTATTGACCTTTCAACATTTTGCCACATTTCAGGCTTCAAACATAAAAATATAAAAATTTTATTTTTTGTCATGAATCAACAAGTGGGACACAATTGTGAAGTGAAACAAAATTTATTGGATAATTTAAACTTTTTTAACAAATCAAAAACTGAAAAGTGGGGCATGCAATATTATTCGGCCCCTTTACTTTCAGTGCAGCAAACTCACTCCAGAAGTTCAGTGAGGATCTTTGAATGATTCAATGTTGTCCTAAATGACTGATGATGATAAATAGAATGCACCTGTGTGTGATCAAGTCTCCGTATAAATGCACCTGCTCTTTGATAGTCTCAGGGTTCTGTTTAAAGCGCAGAGAGAACCATGAAGACAAAGGAACACACCAGGCAGGTCCGAGATACTGTTGTGGAGAAGTTTAAAGCCGGATTTGGATACAAGATTTCCCAAGCTTTAAACATCTCAAGGAGCACTGTGCAAGCAATTATATTGAAATGGAAGGAGTATCAGACCACTGCAAATCTACCAAGACCCGGCCGTCCCTCCAAACTTTAATCTCAAACAAGGAGAAGACTGATCAAAGATGCAGTCAAGAGGCCCATGATCACTCTGGATGAACTGCAGATAACTACAGCTGAGGTGGGAGAGTCTGTCCATAGGACAACAATCAGTCGTGCACTGCACAAATCTGGCCTTTATGGAAGAGTGGCAAGAAGAAAGCCATTTCTCAAAGATATCCATAAAAAAGTCTTGTTTAAAGTTTGCCACAAGCCACCTGGGAGACACACCAAACATGTGGAAGAAGGTGCTCTGGTCAGATGAAACCAAAATCCAACTTTTTGGCCACAATGCAAAACGATATGTTTGGCGTAAAAGCAACACAGCTCATCACCCTGAACACACCATCCCCACTGTCAAACATGGTGGTGGCAGCATCATGGTTTGGGCCTGCTTTTCTTCAGCAGGGACAGGGAAGATGGCTAAAATTGATGGGAAGATGGATGGAGCCAAATACAGGACCATTCTGGAAGAAAACCAGTTGGAGTCTGCAAAAGACCTGAGACTGGGACGGAGATTTATCTTCCAACAGGACAATGATCCAAAACATAAAGCCAAATCTACAATGGAATGGTTCACAAATAGACGTATCCAGGTGTTAGAATGGCCAAGTCAAAGTCCAGACCTGAATCCAATCGAGAATCTGTGGAAAGAGCTGAAGACTGCTGCTCACAAACGCTCTCCATCCAACCTCACTGAGCTCGAGCTGTTTTGCAAGGAAGAATGGGAAAGAATTCCAGTCTCTCGATGTGCAAAACTGATAGAGACATACCCCGAGCGACTTGCAGCTGTAATTGCAGCAAAAGGTGGAGCTACAAAGTATTAGCGCAAGGGGGCCGAATAATATTGCACGCCCCACTTCAGTTTTTTATTTGTTTAAAAAAGTTTAAATTATCCAATAAATTTTGTTCCACTTCACGATTGTGTCCCACTTGTTGTTGATTCTTGACAAAAAATAATTTTTTTATATCTTTATGTTTGAAGCCTGAAATGTGGCGAAATGTTGAAAGGTTCAAGGGGGCCGAATACTTTCGCAAGGCACTGTAACACCAACCACTATTGCCACTACAGCTGATCACTGAAGTTTTGCAGCCGAAACATGTCGACAAGACATAATTAGTCTTTCAAAAGAACCAAAAAACTACAACTGTATGCTAATATTGTAAAGTTTCTCTTATTAACTTTATTGGAAGTTTGAATCCTACTTGAGTCCGGTTGTGCAGTCTTTGTCGAGCCCCTCATGTTAATGAGTTGCTGGTAGATGACGAGGCCCATGGTTCAGGCTTGTTGTAGCAGTACATTATTTGTGAGATACCGTCCAATGAGTGGGTCATAGGAGGAGGATAAAACACTGGGATCCGTGTCTGATCTGGAGAATTTAACGTGTGCTTTTGTTTCAGGAGTGTCCCCTAGATTCTGACACGCCATCCTCCTCCATCGAGCAGCTGAAGTGAGTCACAGTGGACTGATGTTAACACGAGTGAGAAATGTCAATGTGCACAAAAGTACATCATGTTTAGGTAGATATCCTTTTAGAAAACTAGATTAAATGTTGTGAGACGATCGCATGTGAACAGCTCTGTGCCATAAAGACTGTGCTCGTATGTTGTGTTTCTGAATGTGTGCCGTTGAACCCCACTAGTTCACTACGTTGTCAGGAAGGCTTCTGTGCTCCCTAACCATTCATTTAGTTTCTCCACTGAAGATTCCAATCATGTTCTGAATGTCTAGTTTCTCTCAAACCCAAGTCTTTGTGTGTTGGATGAAAAACTGTATAGATTGGAAACAAGCACGCTTAAAATGGTTTATTTAATGTTTTCCATTTTAGTTGTATAGCATTTAGAGTGTGGTATTGTAAATGTTAGAAATCAACGACAAAAACATAACTTGCTGAATAATCCGTTAATTTGTGTCAAAGAAGCAGACGGTTACACTATATAAAATGACGCCGCACTAAGATTGTTTGTATTTTTCCATGCACCCTCCATCTATCTTTTTATGTGTTCTCTGTGCACTCGTTAGCCCCCTCCATAATTGCATCGCTAATCTAATGGTACTACTTTTTCTCTGTATAAAATAATTCACTACAATAGTTACATGCCCAATTCTTCCTCACTATCCCTATAAATGGAAGTGGTTTTCGAGATCCTTGGAAGTGATGACAAACTTTGTTCTTGTTGCTGACTTTGAAACCTAATGACGTGGGTTTTCTGTGCCTAAATCGACAAACTCTTTTCCCCCATAAAGTCTGTGATGAATTAAGAGTATGTTTGTCTTATTGTGCACTCGACACAAACGTCTTCATTAGTGTGATTTTTGTTTGTCCCTCTTTTTGACAAATTGAGGCTGAGACCACTGCCTAATTATCAACTGCTGCCACTAGACCAATGTCCTGCAACTTAAACAGAGAGTTCTTGTCAAAAGCTTTGGGTTCGCCTCATATTTTTATAGGCTAACTTTGCCGGGACCTCACACACCCATGATACACAGTACTAGAATATGTATGTCATTCTGTCCATTTTATCTTTAGATTGAAGGATTATGGGGTATCTTGTATGCTATTGTGTATAGATTAGTGATGGATATGGTTTAAAGGGCCAGGATAAAAAAAAAGAAAAACCAAATATTTCACTCCATAAAACCAAGACAAAAATGACTTTATTTAAGTGAGCCAAGTGTATTTTGATTGCCACAGTGCAGCCTCTTACCTGCATACAAGCGCTATTATTCTTTGACTTTCTACAAGACTTGCGCCTGCAGCTGTAGCATATGGAACGATGAACACTGGTAGATTCATTTTGGATTCATATCTATACTTAAAGCTGTGGTACTTAACTTCATGTTTCTACCAACACAGTATTGAAAAAGTAAATGTGAATAAATCAGACCCAAACAGGCCATCTTATCAGGAAAGCATGTTATCTTGTGCATACTTGTGAGTCACTGTTAGATTCTTGGGGCTGAGGGGCTTTGGTTTAGAAAAAGCTGATTTTAACACGGAGGCTAAAAAAATCATGCATGTGAGAAATGGAGATCAATCACAAACGGTTTTAGAGCCAAGAACTATTAGATGGATTTTATTTCATTTTCTTGTTTGTGTTTTGAAAGTTGGGAACCACAGCTTTAAAATCCCTCGCCCTGAATACAAGAATTACCCTGGTATTATTCTTAAAGCTCTCCCCTTCCATTCCCCTCCATTGGCTCCGCTCCAATCTCCTAATTTACAACAACACATTTGTCTTTCCCGCGTCGCTCTCCGAACAATTCAGAGTTACATCTATGTCCTCATGAAGGTTATTAGAGCCTCCAGTAAAAGTGAGGGCTCAGCAAGTTTACATGAGCAGATTGGGTCTGGTGCGCTGCTGAGATGACAATTTGTTCATGAATAGTTTTTAATTATTGGCTAGATAACTTCTTTGGAGGAACTGGACTGTGTGTGTGTGTGTTTATAGAGAACAATAGAGCCTGCTCAAACAAAGACTAGAAATAAGTGTAGAGTAATAAAATCGAGTAGAAATATTCAGGTGGTAAAACTAAAAGCAATACCATGTGATTTAAATTACCATGGTTGATGTTACTCTTCAATGCCATTCTAAGCAAATATAAAATGTTTTGGTTATCTTGTACTACAACGTAAAGTGAATTTGAGTATCTTGCAAAGATTTACATGCATTATTTAGTTCTGTGTGAAAATAACATTGGTTTTCATCATAGACAGTATCCTGCATGTCCATTAGTGATAATAGACATGTCTTGTCTCACATACGCCACTAGAGGTCACTTTATACCCATACACAAGCGGAAGCAAAGTGTCTTCATCCAAATTCAGCAAATCCAACCACCTTCCTGAATCATTCCATGGCATTTTCATGTTGTGTCATAACATTTGACCAGTGCTTTTAACAAGTGGCATTGATAAACATCTTTAAAAGGTGTTAAATGTCACTTGACCAAACCTGGAGCTGCTCTGTGTCATACAAGGCTTAAAACCGCAAGAAAGGAGGTGTGTTTGCTGGTTTCGGATGCAGACATGAATGAGATAATTAATTACAGCCAAAAAGCGTGTTGTATCTTGGATTTTATCTGCTTAAAATCAGCCAAAGCCAACAGCAGAGAGCAGCCCCATGCATCACGCCTTCCCCTGACTTTTGCTTTCTCTGCTTCATTAAGTTGAAGCAGTTATTGATTAACATTGACGGGGTTTGTTAATCATGGATAATGAAGCTGTCCCACATTTAGGAAAGTACACAGCGTATTTAAACAGACCACGCAACAGTCCAGCGTTTTGGGCTCCTGGAGAGGGCACCACAGAACAGCACCGCTCAACCCGGCCCGACCCAGCGGCTGAGCCAGAGGTAAGGCCAGAGTCAAGCAGCGGGACATGGAGGATACCTTTGTTATCATTAATCATGTGTAGTATCTAAAATGATCAATCTTTTTTTTTTCGTATTTTTTTTTTCTTTTTTACAACAATCAACTATTCTTATCAAACTTTCCCATAATCTGACATATTTACACTGTATCTACAGATGGTCTAAAGGTGCTCTGTCCCTATACAATAAATACATAATCAGTTACATGAAATACACATTAAATCTTATTTTATACAAACATTTTTAACTTGGCTGTAAATAGTTAATCAATTATTCACAACTAATCAATTATTGAAATAGTTGTCGACTAATGCAGTATTTGATTAATCACTTTTTAACGCTACACAGACTTAAACTCACTGAGAAAAGTAATGACTGCAGAATTAAACATAAATGTGTGTTTTATATTTTTAATCAAACAACTCAAAGTGTAAGGTCCTCTGATGTTCTCCAGGGGAGTCACTGGAGCTTTGTTTTAGTCAAAAGTAGAAACAGATCCAATATTCACTCAGCTTCAGGATCTAAACTACTAATCGATTTAATCAAATTTTAAAACTCATTGATTTTCAGAATAATTGTTAATAACAGTCCTTTTAACTATATGAATAATTCCAAATTGCTTTTGAATATAATGTTTTGTGAATAAAAATGGTATAAAATAATTATTGCGAATGAATTGAATGTAGTAATCAATGGACTAGTAAATTCTGATGTAAGCCTTAGTGGTATCAGGATGGGTCAAATGCAGAGGATGAATTAATTAATAAAATGCACCTTTACCTTCATAAATGTGAGTGCCAAGAGTGCATTTAACAACAGTCTCCACTTGTCTCCTCACGGCTCTCTTAACAGCTTCTGCACTTAATCCTGTGTCTACAGATGTTACATCCTCATGAAAAAGGCCATCAACAAGTGGAGAATATCTGAATGTTATTTTTAACTTTTGGGCTAGTTGAGATTGGGATATGTGCAGGAGGCACTACAAAACCTGGTTCAGGGATAAATTAGGGATAATGAAAATGTTGGTAATGGGCATCAGGTAAAAAATACTTAAGCTATACATAGTAATGACCATATATAAAATATTATAAAGATAACAAACATCAACCATGGGATTACTTTAGCCTACAAAACCTTCTCTCACTCTTATGTGTCACATTCTGTAAAGCAACTATATTTCACATTCTGAAGCTTATCAGTATTTTACAGAGAGTGTGTCCCATAAAAAGGTTCCCATATCTAACATTTTTGTGAAGTACCCAGGAGGTAGAAGCCCATAATGATGATCCAGTAAAACCAAATTCATATCATGTGAACTTTCCAGTATTCACTGAACCGTTGCCCCCATGTGGCCTTCCCTGTATCTACCTTTTCACTAACTGTATCGGTCACTATGCTGAAAAATCTTCAAATGTTTGTGCCTTGAGCAGGGTTGCCTCTGCACTGATCTTATTGCACCAGCACTCCAACGCCAACATCGCCATGGAAACGAGGCCCTCCATCCAGAAAGCGCTCTTTTATACGAAACACTCCAAACAAAGACACACACCGAATCAAAAGCTCATAACGATAAAGACTGTGTGAAAGCAAAGAGATGAAAGCAATCAGCACCGAGCTTCACTGCGATGGTGAATATTCAATATACAGAGTTGAAACATTCACCGGCTCATCCGTCACAGCCTCGCATTTAAGCCTCTTCATATAAAAGATAATTAAGAGACATTTGGTGCGGGATAAACAACAGCGATTATCTTGATTTAAGCAGCTACCTGCTTAGGCTGAGATTCGAGCAAGATTCGTCTGATAAGTGAGACGCACTCCCACTTGTCAGGACGCTTGTCACGTGCATACAATGAAATCCATCTCCTCAGACTTCAGTGAACCTGCTGGAGGAGGATGCCACTTTCACTCAGTAATTACAGTCATTTTGAGTGGAGCAATTTCCAAACGCTTCCACCATAAAAAAAAATAAAAATAGTTTACAAAAAGCATTAGTGCTCGGATGCTCCCTAGGAGGACCACTAAAGGAGGAGAACATCTTTGACTTGTATAGGCGCTGCTGGAGGAGACATGCAGCTGCTGCCTCAAAAAACAAAATCAGCTTGAGTTAGTGTTTTTTTCTGCTGTGTCGAAATACGATCCATAAACGATTGTGGTGTGATGTAAAATGTGCTTTTTGACCCCAGACTGAGGACAGGTGCTGATTGCGTACAATGCGTGGTATCTTTGTTCTTGTCTAATAGCTGCGCTGATGGGATTAAACGATGAGTCTTTGGTTTTCTGCGGGCGGTTGATAAACACATTTGTGCTCGTAATCAGTCCGATTCAGATTCACCGGTCTGTAAATACTTGTTTTCCTCCGTGCAGCTTCTGAGGAATGTCATCTCGGGCCATAACTGTAGTGGCCGCTGGAAAGAGCAGAGACTTTGACTGCAATGGTAAGATCAGCAGAGGAAGGGCCGCATGAAAATCAATCAAATAAACAGTAATGGCTACAATTTCAAATCTTGTTGGGATAAAAAGTCTGAAGCCTCTTAAAATGTGTGATTTTTCCTCCTCACATAAACAATTGCTGTTTCTTCAAAGATGCCTTGTGTAACTTTCTGCACCTCAGCATGACATAATGATAATAATGCGTAGGTTTTTATGCGCTTTTTTGGACACTCAGAGCCGCCACACATGGCATTCTTCTTTCACTTCATACACAGTGATAATAAACTGCTACTGTAGCCACAGCTGTCCTGGGGCACACTGACACAAGTGAGGGAACCAGTATGTGCCATCAGCCTCTTCAACCACCACCAATCATTCACACAAGACTCATTCTAGGTGAAGCGTCATTCCTAAGGACACTTCACAGCCGCTAATGCACTGTGGTACCTATACTTCTCGCAGAGGTCTCCCATCACAGCACTAACCAGGCTCAGTCCTGCTTGATTTTAGGAGGTCTGACAGGATATGCTTCCACATGCAGGTGGCACAGAACACAAGTGCATTATTATGATGCAGCTGACAGTTGGACAATGTACATTAATAGAAACATCATTTATGGATTTATTTAAGTTTAACCTGGAGTTATAGTGCTACAGTAGTTAATGTTAGTGTCTCTAATTGGTAATATTTGTTATAATGTACTCCATATGCATACTGTAGCCACGTATCTGTGATGCTTTTCCTTTTCATTGTATGGACACAGTTTGTTTGTCTTTCCTTTGCCTATGCGTTGTACTTGTGTAACTAAGTTTGATGAAGTCTATAGTGACGTTCCATTTCTTCAAGGTCACATCCAGCTCTTTCCTTCAGGCTTAAAGCAGCCGCAGAAGCTCTGGGTGGAGGAGGATGGAGAATCAGGCATTGGATCCACCTTAGACCTCAGCAGCAGCTTTGAGAGTAGCAGACAACACACCAATACCTTGTTCAGCAGCTCGTAAGTCACAGCGGCCGACTCTTGCCCTCCGGAGACAGGTACTTGGCTTTGCAGAGAGCCCTTTGCTGCGGCTGGGGCGAGAGAGGGCCCACATGTTCATTTGATAACAACATGAAGTAAAGGCACACAGCTGCAGGAGGCCAGGCCGGTGTCACAGCTCAATTATGAGTGCTCCAAACACTGCTGATACGTGGGTGTACTCTGAATGCAGGCCAGGGCCAAGATCAGGAGGCTCCTCACATTCTCCGTGTTTACAGGTCACTAATAATGTCACAACATTCTAGTTTTCAATGAAACTATTCCCATATGTACATGGGGTAAGGGCGGTTATTCTTTACCAAGAATGTTCCACAATATTGGATTAAACATTTCTAAATAGTATTTTTACTCATTTTATTGCTCAAGAGATTAGTAAGCTTTCCCAGCTTGCTGTTCAAAGATCCTGTAGACAAATAGTTAACATGTCGTTGATAACATTTTGTTTTGACTTCTCTTGGGGGAAAGTGTTAACTCTCATTTCACAAAGGCAAAACAAATAGAAAGGTCAGAGGCACACTGGCGTGAATGAAAGCTTCACTGAGTGCGGTGTGTTGTCTTCACATTTCACAACGCTGGAGCACTCCCAGTATCCTCCATTCCCCCAGCTCCTTATTTTCCTATAGTACAAATATGTAGTAATGCAGTGGTTCCCAATCTTTTCCCCTGTGTACCCCTCGTCAGCGCAGACAGAGTCCCCTGCTGTTAGGGGTAAAGCGCTTGTGTTCTCGGGGGTCAAACTCATACTGTATAAAGGTTCCTATCTCTAAAAAAAAAACAAATACAAACAAATACAATTCATTGCATTTGTTTGTATTATGTAGGTATTTTAATTTAAGTTTTTGGACTTTTCTGAACAACATTTGTTCATGCTTGGACTGAAACAAAACCGGACCAAATGTTAGACAGGCTTGTTATTGCAGACGGATGGACCCATTATTTATTAGGGTTGTGTTCTGGACCCCAAAGCAGAGACGAAGACTGAGCTCAATTCCAGGAAAGGATTAAGGCAGGCAGTTGAGACAGGGAGCTAGCTGGCTGGTCAGGAAAAGGAGGACCTGAACACAAGACACAAAAAACCATAAGAAAAAGCACAAACTCATACTGCTGCTGTACACTGACTGGTGACATAGTATAATCTGGCAGAGATGCAAAGTTCCAACCAGATACTTCAAGCCAGAGTGATGATGAGGCACAGGTGTGTGAGCCCACACACACCTGCTGCAGAGCCAGCCACGCCCCCCGGTCTCACACATGCCCGGAGGCAGAGCAAAGCCCAAACCCAACAATTATTATTATTATGAATTGTGTTTTAGGTTCAATCATTAGTGTTTTAACATTAAAGCTGCACTAACGGACTGAGAATTTTTGAATGCGAGCGCTGGGCTCGCCCTCCCCGCCCCCAATGGAAGCTTTCGCCCCCCCGCTACCCCCCTCCCCCTCAGCCTGTGCTCACAACGTGGATGGCGTGATCATAGAATGATAAAACCGGGAAGCGCAGAGGATTCTTTTGGATGGCTGTTTCGCTGTGTAAGCAGTAACCGGTGACGAAGACACGGGAAGCTTCAGGTTAGCCTCAACCGCTTGATTACCTCAGCTATCTGTGTTAACAAGAGACCTGTGGCTTTTCTCAAGAAAGCGGGGGCCAGTGGTCCCAAAATTTGGACCCGAAACACATTCTCTTCCTTGTTTCACAAAAACTTGATCTAAAATAAAATGACACGACAGCACAAATCTGCGCTACTTTTTCTTCAAAAGGACATATATCCCAATGCACTGCATGGATATAGATTGAATTTTCATAATGAATACAAAAATAAAGTCAGGTAATGCAGCTTTAAACTGATGTATAACATGCCATTATACCTGAAGAAAATGTCTGAGATTGTGTCACAGGCAAAAAACATGTTTTATTGATGTTAAAACAACAAGACCAAAATCTAGTTTGAGCTTTAGATAACCAAAATATTACAAGTTGAAAATTACCAGCTTGTGCATACTGTCCTATGATGAGCTTCAAACGTGCAATAAAATATCCACACATCCCTTATCTATCCCTTTAAGGTTCGCAAACCCCTATTTGGGAAACAGGGGTATTGTGTTCTGAGATATGTCAAACCTCATTTCCCTCAAGCCTCTCCTTTTACATCTCTTTCCTTCAGTGCTGATTCCAGGCTCTATCTTCATCAGGTGATCACAGACCGTTGACCTGTTTTCTGTTTGAAACATTTTGTTGCCGTCTTTCAGCAGGTCTTGCACCGATCTCCGCAGCAGCTTCAATTAACATCAGTTAAAGTGGAGCGGCCAAGATGCTGCTCGGCCTCCTCTTCCTCTGCTCTCTGGACACTCTGAGCTCTGCCTTCCAGTTAACCGGGGGTAAGTGGTGCTGCCTCCTGTACGACCCGGGACACAGTAGTGAGCGGAGGCAGACGGAGACAGATCAGAGTCTGTTCATATTTACATAAGGACAGACTGTTGTGGCCACATTGAGTTGATGCCGTGGACATCAGGTAAATGACCGAGTCTAATTTAGATCATTTCACTTTTTTATCTGATTGGACATTCAGATTCATTTATTTTCCATTTGCAGTAAAACCACATTGGAAAAACTGTGCAAGACTACCCCAGTGTGCACCAAACAGAGAAGACGGCACACACCAGAGCTCAAACAGTAGAATAAACAGCAGAGAGCAGTAACATACATATCACAAGACAGTTTGGATAAGACACATTATGTTTTCACTTTTTAACATGTTGCAAGCCAATTCTTCATTGTGAGATCTATAAAGTTTATCTTATCTTTTTAGTTTAACCTTGTAAGTAAGTAAGCAATCATCAATTAAGCAATTATCTATAAAGCGCCTTTCACAGACCAGAGTCACAAAGTGGTTTACAATTGTGGCCATTTGTCCACTCACTCCACACAGAGATGAGAGCAGGGTCGCCAGTACTGGAGGTGCATGCCAGACCTATTGTACATGTTTTTAGTGGTAGGGGAAACCGGAGTACTCAGAGGAAACCTACGCAGACACGCGGAGAACATGCAAACTCCATTCAGAAAGGCCCTGTTCTGACCGGGATTCGACCCCAGGACCTTCTTGTTGAGAAACGAGAGTGCTATCCATTGTTCTGACATCTTTCACTAATGTTCCTGACACTTATGTGACATTCTCAACTGTGTGTGTTTGCGTGTTTGTGTGTTTGCATGTGTGTGTGTTGAATGTGCGTGATTTTGAGCAGGGAAAGTATCTGGAGGCATTTTCCAGGACAATGTGGTGCTGTCCAACTCCGTGGCGGGGCTGGTGGTGGGGATCCTGGTGACGGTGCTGGTGCAGAGCTCATCCACTTCCTCCTCTATAGTGGTCAGCCTCGTGGCCTCCGACTGTAAGGACACGTACATCAAACAAGTAACACGTTTGTGCCATGGGAAAATGTCTGCTGTCCTTCTGTACTTATGAAAAGGCTTTTGTAAAATTTAGTGAAACACCGGATCATGATAGAAATGGAAAAAGATGCCCTCATGCAGCTGTAAAGAAAACAAAGCACAGATTGATGAGCAGTTATGGAGTTTGTGGTCGTGGGATTTTGGCTTTGTATAGCACAATTCATACACAAGGAAACTCAAAGTGCTGAACAAAACAAGATAGAGACAGTAACATAAGGCATTCAAATCATAAATTATAAAAGCGTATGGTAAAATCCCTCTGTTGTATGCACAGCTAAAAAAATAACAGTTTTTAACCTGGATTTAGCTATTGTCAGAGAAGAACCCTGTCTCACATTTTCAGGACGACTAGTTGAAATTTTTTTCCACATGGTATATTATAACACGCATAGGCTCAGAGCAGGGGTGTCTAGACCTTTTAAGAGGGCCACTTTAGTTCACCAGACTGATCCAGGGGCTGCTGTTGTGGATTGTAAAACTGTTTCTTCGGGCTGTTCTGGCCTTTGAAATGGGGTACAGAGAGACCAGAGAGAGAGATACCAGAGAAAGAGCAGAGAGAAAGAGCAGAGAGAGAGAGAGACTAGACGAAGAGCAGAGAGAGCGAGACCAGAGAGAGATAGTCCAGAGAGGAAGAGAAACCAGAGAGAGAGAGAGAAACCAGAGAAAGAGACCAGAGAGAGAGAGATAAACCAGAGGGAAAGATACCAGAGAAGAAACCAGAGAGTCCAGGGAGATACTATTGATTCATGCCATAGCTACATTGGTGCCATTTATGGAATTTTGTGACTCAAATCAAAAACAAATGTCACACTGTACAAATAAAGTAAATGATTGGATTCAAAAGCTTTACAATGAGGTGCAACATGATATATATCGGTGGAGCTGAAGTCTGCTGGATGACACTGTGAGGGTGCCCCAAAGGCTGCTTCGTGTTAGTTGCAGAGGGCCACATGAAATGACTTAGAGATGCCTGATTTCGAGCGTGTGACTTGTAGATAACTTTCTTTGCTCTGTTTATCTGTAAAGTTGTGAAAATGCAAACCTGCCTATGCTCACAGCTAATCCTTAGGAAACAATAACCGACACATATACAATTCAAACTGTTTGCTTTTCTCCAACAGCAGCTGTTACAGTTTGCTGATGTTGCGTTCACTCAAGTATAATGTGCTCTGTAAGCCCTTCATTGAGTTGCTTGTAGGACTTGTTTAAATTCCGCTCGTGGATTCATTATACACTCCTTATGTGCTCACAATACAAACAGCCCTCGTTCTGATGGCTCTAAAGACAGTAGACTTTTGTGGGATTGCGAACAAGCTCATGGACTCCAACTCTTGCAAACCCTTTGAAAAGCAATTTCTTGTCCTAATTTGAACCAAAATTGCGGCTGAAAAACCACTCCTGCTGCTCACCTGAAAGTGTCCCCTGAGTGTAGTGTGATGACTTTAAATAAGCAGTGATTCTGCTCCTCACAGGGATCAGTCAAGATCACCGAAGCAAACCCCCGCACACAAAATATACAGCTGTCTCCCTACAATTTAGGATGCGTGTCAGGCCATTATCCAAGGCCAGCGCCTGAGCAGCCTGTTTTAGATGCCTGCCATCCCCCCTGCCTTTCCTTTTTAGTCTACGATATCAATATGGAAGGCTTTCTCCACATTCAAAGGTAGTGATCAAAGAAACTGCAGAGAAGATTAAAGGTAATTATGAAGAGCAAAAGAGAGAACGTGTAACTTTTGACAATCGGTATGTCCACGGCAATTACAAGACATTAGGGGTAAAGACATTCCTACAAACAGGCAAAGCTGTGTAGTTTGGCCCGATAGATCTAACCTTTGTTCACCACCACTGCATTAGCTCATTAATATGATTTACATAATGTATTACTGTTCACAGAAGCCATTAACCTATTTCAAGAGTTGACTTTGAACGTGTGCAGATATGTGACTAAAATATGAAAGCGTCACTTGAAAAGGTGGTGGTGTGTGTGTGTGCGCAGTGCTGGAGGTGAGGCTGGCTGTTCCGATCATCATGGGAACCAATATTGGGACTTCAGTCACGAATACCATTGTGGCCATGATGCAAGCGGCGGAGAGAAGCGAGTTTGAGCGGTAAGTGCGTGTGGTACAAGGCTAAAGGCAGGGAAAAAGCTTGAACGTTATTGAAAGTCAAGTGGAAAGGGAAGTGCACGGATCTGTTAAATAATGTCTAGTTGAGTTGCTGAGAGAAAACACCTGCTGCCGTGTCTCAGTCGGCCTCTTCCTGAGCGCAAATTGATATAACTGTGAGAATGAATGCACTTATCTCCACAGTGCCCACTCTCGTCGTCAGCCTTTGGCATAAATCGCAAATGTCAATGTTTTTTTAAAAGGGAAAAATACGTAGGCCACACTATCAATCACGACCCACTCCATCACAACTCTTTAGGGGCGACAGTAGCTCAGTTGGTAGAGCATTGGCCTTTGGGCCTGAAGGTCGTGGGTTCAAGCCCACCATAAGACCTACTTCACGACTCCCACTGATGACTGCTGTCGTTGTGTCCTTGGGCAAGACACTTAACCCCATTTTGCCTGAAGCTCCCACTGAAAGATCTCAGCTCCTGTGGACTCACCACCTGCAGGAGGATCAGTGAGGGGCTGGTGCTAAGTGGACTGGGTGCAGCTCTGACTGCCACCCCCCCCGACCCAGAAATGGATTAAGGGGAAGAAAATGGATGGATGGATGGTTTTTTCTTCCAGTCTTTTTTCTAAAAGTTCTAATTTTCTTAGTTTTATTTTTGACAAGCAGTCATCCACAATCATCAACAATAATGATCTCTATTCTACTGTACCTGGTTGTGTTTCCATTACGCTTTATTGTTTGTTGCAGTATCCGTGCAAGCTACACTCAACAAACCAGTTTCCGGGGATATTCCTTGGTAACCATGGCTTCCAGCAGCACCAACTGGTTAGAACCAGGGATAAGCTGGTACTATAAAAAGTACTTGATAGGGGTTAAAGCCCTGATATAATGCATTTAATATTTGTATATTTAAATGTATAAACCTGATGCACATTACCCATTGGTGCACATTGCTGTGAATTGTTGACCAGTAGTAGCCAGCTATCACACGGTGTAGCCCGTTCACCACAGTGGTTCCCTGTCCCAGCGTTAGTGGCACTCCAATAAAACTGATCTTTTCTCCTCCTCCGACATCACCACAAGCCTCATGCACTTTTGTTGAGGGCCAACAAGAGTCTGTTGTCTGTGAAATAGTGGGGAAAAAAACACTTGATTTGAACAATACAAAAAAATAGTTATACATGATAAAAACATCTATACATGATAACATGACTTTTAGCCAATAATTTCAGCAGGACCAGGTTACTCCTTTAAAATTAAAAACTATCCAAACAAAGCCCATACCGTTGTGGAAAAATGAAGGCGCAAGAAAAGCAAAAATAAAACTACAATAAATATACATAAACCTGAAAAAACATACAAAAAACAATCTGGAAATCAAGAAACAACTACATCTCAAGTCTTATCATTTTAAGTCTTGATGGACATTTGATTGGCATTAGACGTAAAGAGAAAGCATTTACATAGAAAAATATATAAAAAAGAGTTACCTTTAATCCTATATTGAGGAGCCATGCTTTTTGTTGCTTTCTTGGTGGCATAATTTTCACATTTACCTCCTCCAAGGAAGTGAAATAACTCCTTGTACGCTTCAAATTCCGTCATGTTGAAAATTCAACGATTTAAAATGTAAATCCCCTTCGGCTCGATACGTCATCGCGCTTGCGTCAGCACGCAGCACTTATGTGTATTAAAAATCAATATTCTGAATAATTATTTCAGCAATATAACACAGGGAGGCACAGGTGTATGATGATTAAACAAGTAAAGGACAGTGAATCTAATCCAGAATTAAACTGTCTGTGTTCGCCTCCGTGTGCCTTTGAACGCATCTGGGCTCTAGCTGCTGTCGCCAAAAAAGATTTGACTGACGTGTTCAGAATTCGATACAGAAATAAGGCCAAGAATGCAAGAGTTAAAAATAGAACATTTAATTCTCTTTACAATTAAATATCGATACAAAACCCTTGGAGCCATTAATTCTCTAAAACTAACCCTATGCTATGCCATCCTAAACTTTCCCTCCAGGCCTGAAAATGTGCAGAGAACATGCAGGCGCTCTGCCATGTTCTCTGTCTCTATCCCTGCTCTTCTCCCTCAGACTGTCCTACCCCCGGTTTTATCAACATGTCCGATGACGTCACATGGTCTCTGGTCTGGTCTCCGGTCTGGACCCTGGTCCAGGTCTTGGTCCTCCATATCAGCCTGAGCAAACAATGGCCCCCATCACTGGGCGCCTGATTGTGTTGGACTTTTGCCCTCCTCGAGAGTGGGAGAGAGCATTTGTTTATTCTTGGAGTCAATAATTGTCTGGTTTGTAAGCTGGTCATCCTTATGATTCCTGAGTGCATATTCTTTTGTCTGATGTGCAGCATTTTGTGAATATTCGTCAGTCCCTCTTTTGACCTATCTTTACAATAGGTCACATCCACCTCCTCGTTCATCATCAATACTTGTGCTTTAGGCTCGATATCTGTGAAGAGTCAATACAGAGAAAACAAACAACACACAACAAACCACATTTTAACCATTCCTTCAATACTATTTTGATGACTACTGCTGTGTCATTCTGATTCTTCATCAACCTCGTCTGTAATGTATGCACTAAACCTATCCTAATCTATTTACAAATATGTTTGCATATTTGCTTTTATTGAGCCATATTCTTAAACATATGTTTTTATCTAATAAATCTCTCTATACTATGGTTTTGCTTTCATTAACAGTGGCTTTGTCCCATTTTGTGGGGCTTTGCTAATTTTTCCAAACACATTTGTTGAACCAGGAAGTGCTGTCACTTCCTCCTCTCAAGACAGTTTGGGATGAATGTACACCGTTAATCAAATTGGTATTATCCTTACAAGAGCTAATCTATTTTAGCAGGTTTTTGGGGTCAGTTACTCTACCAATGGTATTCGATTTTCTAATCCGTGCTGACAAATCGACAGCTTTTAAAATTCTCAAAAATATCTAAACATCTACTTTTGTGCTATACCCAAATTCACACCAAAATGCTTTTAAATGTTTTTGAATCTCTGTTGGTTCTAATCTATCTCATTAATCTAAGCTACATTAGTCTAGGCTACACTCATGCAAACTTTATCATTTTAAAACATTTTAACAGTGCTCAGTCTCAAGACTAAAAGGTCAAAGTTTTCGTCGGTCACATGGTCTGAATACTTAACTTTTATTGCATTTGGTCACAGTTGTGGTTCGGTTAATAGCAATAGCATCGGCAATTGATGATTTTTCATTGGCTGGTTCTTGTTCTGCTAATCACTATTTTATGTATTGTATTTCAGACAATTCCAAAAAACAACACAGTTGTTCGCAAATATAAAAAAGACATTCATCTAAATCAAGTTGCTGAAAGGGAGCGGGAAGAAGAGAAAACTCTAATTAAAAATCGTGTTTTCTACGATTATATGGCTATGAAATTAATTATTTAATAAACCAAAAGCACATTCAGGCTTCTGTCGGCTGCTAATAATTGTTTAAAGTGTTGTCCAAAAACTTAATATGTGTAAATACATCAGCTGTTGTAATAAAACCAATACAATTTACGTGTTCTACAATGGAGCAGCTCAGAGGTGCATCCAAGGAGCATTGTTATATTTAGCTATTTTTAGTTTAAAAAATGTTAAAGCCTGTTGTTCTATGTCCGCATTTTATACTAACTCTCTTATAACCACAATCTGCACTAGATCTACAGATGTGGATAAACAGAAGCATCTAATATCTGGACTCCATTTGGGTTCTTTGTACTTTAGTTATTAGAAGAATTTGACATTTTTGATATTTTTTTTCACATAAAAACAATTTTGTTTTTTCACTATGTCTAACTATTATTACTATAGTTGGAACACTTTAAACCTATAGGCTCCAAACCTATTTCTTTTATTCTATTATTATCTTGTTTTTATATGATCGCTTATCCTTAAGAGTAGATCTATTTGATGTGTGCATCATATAGCGCTATTATTTCTCCTTTGATTTGCCAACAAAAAATTAGCATGACACCCGGTGGGACGATTAAAGATTTTTTTTTTATTTTGGCAACTCCGAAAATTAATTATTAATTTCCATTTTGCTTTTAGGATGCCCTTCCATATTTATTGTTTTGTAAAATATTTGTTTTACACTTCTTTCTTAAGTTAGATGGTAAAGGACCATGACCTCCTATGACAAGACATTACAAATTCTCACTCTCTTGGTCGTGGGCCAAGTGTAATTGTAAGCGTGTGTGTGTGTGTAGATTACTGTTCCATGATCTCCAGGTGTTTCTCCCGAGGTGTCCTAATTCGTATGGCTGTGGTGCCAAAGAAGTGGCTCATTTCCTTCTCTTGTTTATACTACTGGTTTCCCTGAAGCCGTGTTGTTTATCTTTTATCGAAAAAATAAACTGTAGAACACAAAAATTATGCCCACTTTCCCTGCCTCGCATGGGGCAGCCTGTCAATCTTCCAATTGGGCAAAACATAACTGCATTGACAGACGGGCGTGTGGACATCTGCCAAATCTTCCAAGGCAGGGGCTAGTAGCCAAATACAGACTTAACAAAATGTATGTTTCTAATTTTATACTCCACTAATGTGAGTTTATCAAACCAAAGTTGTCCTCCGACCAATGACCGTTCATGCGGTGGATGTGTCACTGTGTCAGGACAAACAGCAGAGGGGAGGGACTCCCCGTTCTTTCAGCAAAGTATCATCTCATGATTACTTTCAGCAGAGTACTTTCACCAGAGTACTCTCACTTTTACCACCTGTTCAATAAAGCCCTTGTTATCTTTGATTCTCTAGTATTTACACCGTATGATGTTGACAAAAATATTATTCAATGATCACATTAAAACATTAAAGAAAAACATTTTGTTTATTCCATCTTCGTTCACCACTCTTCACTCACTCCTCACTCTCCCTCACTCACATCACACTCACTGGCTACACACCGACTCCCACGTTAGTATTTTGGGCCAGAGTTTTTTAAGGTCT